ACCCGAACCAACGAATCTAACAAGACCCGATCCGAAATCGACCCAAAAAATTATAGATACTTATATGGGTCCAAATTTCGAAGACCCGAAAGACATGGACCCGACAAAACCCGATCCAGACCCGACTCGAGGATCCGGATACTCAGAATTAAACAGTATATTACCCGCGCTTTGAAAGCGCGGATCAAAATCTAGTTATCGGTTAAAATGAAAAGATGGTTATTACGTTGACCAAAATAAATGAAAAAATAAATATTTAAAGAAAACAAAATAAAGGACTTAAACGAACCTCTAATTTGTCATATGTATAAAAAGATAAGGTCGTGTTAACTGCCTATCTAACTCTGAAGTCTTTTTTTCCCGCCTCTAACGCCAACGAGCACACCGCCAAAAAGAACTTCAAGAAACCATTAATGTCTCCGTCACAGTTTTCATCACTGCATAAGGACCTCGCATGGAGCATCTTAGCCCGCGTGCCGAAACGCTTATACCCAATCCTCGCTTGCGTCTCCAAGACCCTACGCTCTCTTGTACGCTCGCCGGAGATTCACAGACTCCGCTCTTTCCTTGGCAAAGACTCTGTCTACATCTGCTTCATGCAAGACGTAAACGGCGTCAACACCCAACGTTGGTTCACTCTCCGCAGAACTGAGAATGATCAGTTCGTCTCCGTGGACGACCTCGTGTTTCCTGATCGTGAAGAAGAGCCCATACCTTCCATCATCGCTTGTGGTCCTGAGATTTTCTTTATCTCCGGATCAATCTTTCCTTCATCAACCGTATGGATCTTTGATTCTCGAACCGGCGAGTTTCGGCAAGGACCAAGTATGAGCGTACGCCGGCTTTTCAAGAGCGTGGGGTTAGTGGGAAGTAAGATATACGTGGTGGGACGCTACTTGAACGATGAGTTTCATCCCGCTGAATCGTTCGACGTAAAGACTCAAACATGGGAGCCAGCGCCGATTCCTGCTGAACCAAACAGAGACGTATGGTGTCTTCCGACGGCTAATGTGTCGTTAGACAGAAAGGTTTGTGCGTTAAGGTCTGCTGAATCCATCACTATTTGCTACGATCCTAGAGATGGTTCTTGTGAGGCTTTTGATTTGCCGAGAGATAAGTGGTGGGGGACTGGCGTGTGTGTGATCGACAATGTGCTTTACGTTTATTACGCTAGGTTCGGGTTATGGAGAGTGGTGAAGGGTTTGGATGATATGAAGAAGGTTCGGTCTGTTGCAATGGGGGAATGCAGAACAAGGTCAGCTTATGGGGAGTGTACCTCGTGGCCGACGTGGCCATAAGTTGGAGGATTGCCTATCAGTTTCAGAGTAAAGAGGATAGACATTCTGAGCTAATTAAAAAGAAGATTGCTCTGTGTGCAATAGATGGTTTGATATGCTCAAAGTTAACTTGTATGCCAAGTTACTTTGTTTTCCTGCATCTTTCCAAATACGTAACAAAAGGTTGCTCTGTGTTTTGTTGATGATGAAAATGAGTTGCAAACTTGCAATAGATGGTTTGATATGGTCGAAGTTAACTTGTGTGCCAAGTTTCTTAAAACTGCTATTGTTAGTTTCTGCGTTGCAATATTTTTTTTTAGTACTACACAGAACCATATTATTGGATACTGCACAGAACCAAAGTGCAATAGTTTTTTTTAATACTACACAGAACCATATTATTGAATACTGCACAGAACCATATTATTGGATACTGCACAGAACCAAAGTGCAATAGTTTTTTTTAATACTACACAGAACCATATTATTGAATACTGCACAGAACCATATTATTGGATACTGCACAGAACCAAAGTGCAATAGTTTGAATACTGCACAGAACCATATTATTTTATTAAATCATTTCTTGATGATTTAGTAAATTACGAATATAAATTTGTTTAAAAAATAATTGCAACGTAACATATTGTAAATAATATTTTACAAAAAAAAAAACACAAGTCTCATCCTCCTCTAAAGAATCCGTGAGTGTGAAGAGGGAAGGGAGGAGAGACATGATACTCAAATTCGTTTTTTCCCAGCTTTATAATCTCATTTAGAATCTATACTATTAAAGCAGAATCCTTCATACGATATTGTCCTTAATTTATTCAGATATTTACAATGGCATGTCATTGTTTATTTTAAAAAAATTTTAAAATTAAATCCACTTATTAATAAGGAAACAAATCTTTTGAAGATAATTTTGTTTACATATAAAAGTTTGTTTAGATTATGTATAAATAATACATGTATCTTTCTTTTGTAAATTTGTGAGTTTAAATAAGCAACTATTTATTGCTATTAGTTAAGTGTTTTTAACATTAAATAGTTTATTTATGGATCTATTTAAACTAACATGTCTCATTTTACAGCAAAAAACTTTTTTATGTAGGTTACAATATAAAATCGGTTGGACATTTAAGTCAAATAATTTTTTATTTAAATAAAATGATTCAGTACTATTTTCATAGTGCCGATATTTCTATAAACCCAGTTGTTTAGTATTTTGAAATATAGTTAGATTAAAATGAAGTAAATATTTGTTTTGGAATAATTTATAAACATGAAAATTTATAGATTTGCTTCATATTTTATAGCTTCATTATCATTTAATTCATATCTTATTCATAGCATGATTGCATTAATTGATATTTATATTATAGCTATTATATAGTTGTATAAAGAAGACAATGTCTCAATGGATGTCGAAAAAAAACTAAGAGCAACTATTATCTTTTATATTGTAAAAAGTCATAGATACTTTTTTTTATGTTATAACTATGTTATAGTTATTATATAGTTGTATAGCTATATAATCAATGCTATACCTATGCTATAACAATTATTTTGTAAAAGATCACTCAATATAAAGTTAGTAGTTTTCGTTTTTTAATAAAAGGTTTATAAATTAAATAACATCTTTATCTTTGTAGATACAACATCAATAATATCATAAATTTCAATTGCTTAATTTTTATAAACCGTAGCGCATATTAAGGAAAACAAAAGAAATTGCACTATTGTATGATGAGCAGTAATAATTCGAAATCTAATATGTAGATGTAATAGTTAGGTTAACTTTGTATGTTTCAATTTACCTTTGATGAATTTATTGATGTTTAATTATTAAATAATGACACAAAAATATGTCATAAACATAAATGAACAATAAAGAAAGTGACAATATTAAATACTATTTTAATAAGTTACTCGAAAAAATAGAGATAAGAATTTATTCTGATATTTCTTTTGAAAAATTCTTTTTTATTTTATTTTTTATTTTATTTTTTATAATTATAGATTGTTTCATCTATAGTCAGATTCACTCACAAAAATTAAAATAAAATTTCATCAATATGCTATGACTGATTTGGGTTATCTCATTATAACTATAAAAATCAAGACCAAAGCAAAACAAATAATTAAATAAATAAATATTTCAATTGAAAATGTGTGTCCAAAACCCAATAATTTTCTCTGAATACAAAATTTAGATTTAAAATATCAACACATTATAATTATAGAGTATATTTTCGTGAACAACACTTCGACACTATATGATTTTTGATCATATCTCCAAGATTATTTTATACGCAAATACAATCATCGCAACTACAATTGTAATTAGCTTACAAACATTTTAAACACACACACACACACACACATATATATATATATATATATTAAATAAAGATATATATATTTTTCAATAATTTTTAAAAAAAAAATATAAATTCCACACTTTGAAAGATAAATAAAAAATTATTAAAAAAATTATTGTTTTAAAATTTGCCTTGAGCCCCACTTACCCTAGGCACGCCACTGTATACATCAAGCCATCATGGTCATGAATTGTGATGTGGATTCATGATGTAACCTTATGGCAGTGGGGATATAGCATAAAATTTTGAAGGGGGAAAATCACAAATAAATATACAAACTATGATTAAAATGTAATTCTTCAGTAGAAGAAAATAACTATTTTACTCTTGGGCTCATTAAATAAAATGTGAATCAATAAAATAACTATTTTACTTTTGGGCTCATAAAAAAAAGAAAAAAAATAATTGAATCAATAAATCAGACTTTTAGTTTAGAATTAGATTTTCTTTAAAACCAATCAATCAGCACAACGGACCAATTTCACATCTTTGAGACTGTCCACGATCCCAAAATATACTTTTGAGTTTATGTCGTGGATCCCAATAACTGTCGGAACATTACGGATTTAGTGGAAGTGAATGGAGGGATTATTGTGTCGATGGTGAAGGAGGAAGATTGGTTTAAGAAGCAGAGGAGCCGAGTGAAAGTGATTGACTATGGCAAAGCTGTCATCATGCCTGGTCTTGTTGATGTGTAAGTTTGATCTTAAACCACATCACCAAGGACTCGGTTCTGTGTAGTTTCTGCTTCTGGAACAATGGCTGCTGCTGCTGGTAATCAAATCATGTTTCAATTACTTTGAGTTTTGGTACTTAAACATTGGTTCTTTCTTTNAGCCGAGTGAAAGTGATTGACTATGGCAAAGCTGTCATCATGCCTGGTCTTGTTGATGTGTAAGTTTGATCTTAAACCACATCACCAAGGACTCGGTTCTGTGTAGTTTCTGCTTCTGGAACAATGGCTGCTGCTGCTGGTAATCAAATCATGTTTCAATTACTTTGAGTTTTGGTACTTAAACATTGGTTCTTTCTTTGAAAGTTAGTTTCCTAGTAAAGTTGCTCTTTCCTTACCAATGAAACATGAACTCTCTCTTTTTTTTTTTTGAACTTCATGAATACAAAACGCTAAGGACTCTAATTCAAGTAACACCATTGGACTTGATTCTTTTGATTAAGTCCTTAACTATTCCAAACAAAAAAACCAAAATTTTTTAATGTTTTAATAATGCTAAGGACTCTAATTAGAGTATCACCATTGCATATGCTCTTATGGCAGTGGAGATGTAGCATAAAATTTTGAAGGGGGAAAATCACAAATAAATATACAAACTATGATTAAAATGTAATTCTTCAGTAGAAGAAAATAACTATTTTACTCTTGGGCTCATTAAATAAAAAGTGAATCAATAAAAAAAAAGAAGAAAAGTAATTGAATCAATAAATCACTGTTTAGTTTAGAATTAGATTTTCTTTAAAACCAATCAATCAGCACAACGGACCAATTTCACATCTTTGAGACTGTCCACGATCCAGCTCCTCAAGCCAAACCAAAGTCTGTGGATCAACAAGTTGCTCAAAGTTTTCAGCAAAATCATGTTGCAGGAGTTGCTGGACAGTGTAGCCTTCACCGTGCTTGTACTTCACAGCAGCAGAAGCAGAAGCATGCTCACCACCAGCATCATCCAAATTGGCCATGTACTCACGGACTTTGTCGAGAAAGTGGAGACTGGGAACACATCTCCTCACAACAGCAAGCATACACGCAAAAGCAGCCCTTTTAAGGGACTTGCACTTGTCCAGGGAATCACAGTCATCTGCAGCGAGGAGGGTCTGATACGTCTCAGAGATGTCGATCATCATCATACTTGCATACATGACTTCAGTTCGGGCATCCACATAGTGAAAGTAATTGAAGCGCTGATTAAGAACGCTAGCATACAACTGACCAACCCGAGATAGGCTTGGAAACTCTTCAAAAACCTTATATAACATGTCTGAAAATCTTCTCTCAGCAGAGGGGACCTTGTCGGCACATTTATCCATCAATGTAGACTCGTCAACGTAGGTACAACGTGTTGGTGTCCGCTCCTTGAGAGAAACGATGACATCAATAAAATCGCTTTCCTTTGGAACCGCACTGCTTATCTTCTTGAATTCGTTCTCCATTTTCCTGGTCCAAAAAAAAAAAATAACCACAGGAAAATTATTTATTCGATTTCCCTTTGTTTAACAAGACGACATCTCTGATTCTATTGCAGTTCTATAAGGCACAACCCCTTCTATGTTACAGAACCAACCTTCACTATTACCACAAGTTAAAAAAAAGAGCAACACTTACCAACTCCAAACCACAGATCAAAGAAGCTTGCTCGAGAGAATGGATGATGGAGGCAGGCCGCATCTTATACCGTACTTTACTTTATATAAAACTAGGGTTTGCCGCCCTACGGGCGGTATATTAAACTAAAACTTTATATTTAATGAATATTTTAAAATATGTAGTGTACTTTAAATTTAAGGTGGTATTAATATTCATTGCATATTTTTTTTTATTTATAATATATTGTTATTTTAGATATATTTTCTACTGCGAAAAATTTATATTGTTAAACCAAAACTTTACATAAAATATTATTATTTAATGGATATTTTAAAATATGTAGTGTACTTTAGATTTAAGGTGGTATTAATATTCATTGCATATTTTTTATAATATATTGTTATTTTAGATATATTTTCTACTGTGGAAAATTTATATTGCTTACAATTATTTTATAATTGTCCAAAATTATTTTTAATATTTTATATTTTTCCTGCTATTTGTTTTATTTTTAACCATTATTTTTGTTATTGACAATTATTTAGAATTATATTATTGCTACATATATTTTCATAGTTGTGACTTTAAAAATATGATGTTGATTTATGGTATAAAGAGTTGTTAAACAATGTGAATTATTGTCTTGATATGTTTTAAGTCTAATGTAGCAGTAGATATTTCTGCAGCCGGTCGAGTTTAGTTGCGTATATTAGAGTTTCGAGTTTTTGATTTTACATATTTAAGTTTTATTTCGATATTTGTTAGTTTTGATTCAGATTGGGTTAATATCTTTGCATGTATTCTTTAATAATTATGTAAATTTTATTTTAAAATATAAAAAAACTTTAAGATCTTCAAAATTCAAAACTAAATTAGGTAATATATGATTAAATACTTACAACTGGTATGAAAATCTATTTTTTTATTGTAAGTATTTTGTATTGTGTTGAATATTCATTTGGCTGTTTTAAAATATTTTAAAATATTTTAGATGATTTTGAGTACTTTTAAATAGCTTATTTTTCTAAATATAAGAAATAAAATTAAGTGTTAAAATTAAATAAATACTCTGGTTCATGTCGGGTTTAATACTAATTCAAGTTCTGTCAGATTTGGTTTGTTTTATGTTTGGTTACGAATACATATATTTAACCTAGTCCTAATTATTGTAAACCTTTTATTTATGTTGTTTTTTATTAAATTTCCTTCATTTTTTTTACATCTATTGACTTTTCTTTCATTTTTTGGAATTAGTATTTTCATCGTTATTAAACGAAAATGTATTGGTTTGCAATATACTTTTGTATTGGAGACTGTATTATTACTTTTTTCATTATTTGGACTCGAAAATAACATGCTGGAAACACTTATAATTTTATAGATCTTGAAGTCTAAAGTTATAAAACTGTGTACCGGTTTGAAGACACATTATGTGTTTTATTATTAATTCATTTAAAAAGATGTTATCACTAAATTTGAATATTTTTATTTATTGGATAGTACTTAAATTATTTACTTATATATAATGCTGAAAATCATATTAACATTTTTAAAAACAGAAAATTAAAGCTCGGGTTAAATATATTAATATGACTGATTTATTAATTCTTATTTTAATAAATTATGTCGTTTTTTGTTTATGACACAAAATTATAATGACTGTTTATGTTAATTTAAGTTTAATTAAATGTATGTAAATTAGAAATTATGTATGACTGTTCATATTCATTCCCGTTTATTAACATGTTTTAAAATTAGAAATTATGTATAAATTTTAATATTATTTACAATCAATTTAAATATTAAAATAAATAGTAAATAACCTATATGTAAATGTTGATAATAATATTGATTAATGCAATAATATAAGTTCTTGTTTTAAAATTGTAAATATATATTTGTATAACTGAAACATAAATGTTAATATCTGTTAAATTATGTTAAAATAATTATTTATAATTTAAAATTGTTTTAAATTAATTCTAATTATAAATATTTATGTACTATTTAATATTTTTTAATATATTTAATCTAATAATAAAAATTTGAATTTTTTTGGACTATTCATTAATATTTAAAAAATTATATTTGTCAAAGTTTATATACACCCAATTGATGAGATGGTTTAAGTAGAAGAGAGAAAGCTCTTATTATTCCTCCTTGTGGCAAATTCTTGTAAATCATAACTTTCTTATAAGTTTCATTGATATAATTAGGCATCTTAGTGTTTTTGGAGAAATTTACAGTGACCGGGTACTGTCTAGTGAGAACCTCTATTATCGGAGGTGGCTTAGGGAACAACCTTTCTCTCTGATACAAAACCTTCCACTCGCAAAGTTTCACTCATCGATTTAGGCGGCGAGATGTTCCGTTTATTGTGCCTCCAGATTTTGATGACTCCAGTAAGCATCCAAATTAGAATGTCTGTGTTGAAGCTTCTTTCATGAGTTTCAACGAGAATTATCACAGAGTAACGCCTCAATAAGAAATCATTCTGCAACAGATTAAATTTCTACAATCAAATTCTGAGATGAAAGAAAAAAGAATCTACAAAAAAAAGCCATGATTACCTGAATTTCATGGAGTAAAATCCCATCGGTCATAGACTTGATAGCTGCGTTCTCGCCTATATTTTTGTCACACCTAACCTTAAACCCGACGTCTTGACCGAGACCAACACTAAGTTCATGCACCACTCTCTTGGCAGTAGCGAGGACAGCCACACGACATGGTTGTGTGATACCGATAACCCCGCTTCGAGAGCTGAGTTTCTTTGAACCAAAACCGGTTTCATAAAGAAACTGAAAATTTCAGAAACCAGATTAGATTAGTATTGAGCCCAAAACTCAGCCAAGAGCAAAACATGTACAAATGCAACAAACAGACCTGGGGAACTTGAGTGGTTTTACCACAACCGGTCTTTCCTAAAATAAAAACGCTGGGATGATACTTGAAGTATGTTCAAACTTCAACTGGTCTTGAAACATGAACTACAAACGCAGGTTCTTGTACGGTTACATCTTCACTCTCATCATGTTTTCATTACCTAAACCCATTAAAACCAATCAAAGCAAAACATATAGCCGAATATCAAAATTTGACAAACCATTCTTCGTAAGCCTTCTTCATCTACATCATCATCACGACCAGTTGTCAGTAGATTCATATCCACTACAGGTTCATCTTCTTCACAGGCCTCTTCAGCAGGAATCATCACTTTAGAATCAAGTTCATTTGCATTAACAAACTGCTCAGAATCAGTTTGAAGACTCGGGATATCAACATTTTCAGCAGGTTCAGGTGTGGTAGGCTCGTCCATGCAAGAATCATTGTCCATGACTGGTTCATCAGAATGCTCAGACACAACACCAATTTTAGAGAGTTGTATTGTTCTTCTACGTTTCTCCAGCTTAGTATCAGACTGAAACCCAAAAGAAGAATCAGATCACCGTTTAACTCTAAAGCTACTTTAAGATTAGAGGAAATTGCAGGTTGCTTACTCTTCCAATAGCTTTTGAAGATTGTAAAAGCGAAGACACATCTGCAGATAGTTTATACTTGCTGCAGAAACACAGAAAGTAAATAAGATGATGAATTTGGGAAGTAAAGAGAAGTGCAATCATACTAACAACTCTGAGGTTTTGGCAGAGAGGAGCTCTTTCTCCTTGATCTCTTCCTCCAACTTCTTCAGATTCCGTTTCTGGGATTTTCTCAAAGTCGTCTTGTTTAAGTTCAGCTTGTCACACATCTGGAAACGAAGTTGCAGGTTCCAGTGAAGATTGAAACTTGCAAACACCTTACTACAGAACAATCGTTTGATTAGGGTTTTTGTTAAACCTTACCGGGTCCTTTATTCTTCTTCCTTGAAGGCATTAAGTCTAAATTGGTATCTTCTCCCTTCATACTTGCCGATAAACTGAAGGAAGAAAATAAAATATGTCTGTCTACTTATGGATTATCAATATCGAAGAGAAAGAGAAAAATGAAGATGAAACAAAATAACTGCAAAGAGAGAGAGAAGTCAGTATGGACCTCTAGGAATCGCTCGCTAGGTTGGGTGCCGGAGGAAGAACTGAGAAGAACGCTGCACGATGAATCGTTAAAATCAATTAAACCCATTCTTCATTATAAAATTAAGGAAATTTTGTTTTAATCATCGTGTTAGAGGAATAACCCTAGTTTTGCAGCCGAAGGAGACGCGAGAGTGCGTACTTTCGAAGGGTCAGCGAGAAAAATCACATTAGGCCAGAAAACAAACAAAAAATAGGTACGCAGCGTTTTAATATTTAGTACACGTGTCATGGCCAGAGACATTGAATTAGTGACGTGGATGAGTTAGAGGGAGACAAAGTCTCCTTTATATATAGATAGATACATAGATAAACACACTAGGGTTCGCAAAGCAGGTCGGTCCCAATGTGCTTGTCGGCCTATAACTCTTTTGGCTCATTAATACTCGATTTTATGAAAGCCAGTTTACAAAAAAAAGAAGCTGATTTTACAGAAAAAAATAATTGAAACTTTTTTATTTTCAACAGGGAAAATTAAAAATGTAAAAATTAAAAATGTAAAAAATTATTTTGTTTCCATATCATTGTACTAATATGTTTTTCAAATCTTTTAATGTTGTTACCATATACAGCGGATATATATTTGACTGAAAACAATCTTTTTAGATAATCGATTTTATATATTCGGGTTAGGTGCAGTCATATGTCTTAGTACAGTATAAAAACAATCATTACATATTATTGAGAATTTTTTGTATAGATATGTGAATCACTATTTGAAATATGAAATTTGTCAGTCTACTGTTTCATATTTCACGGAACTATTCATAGTTTTGATTTAAAAAAACTTATCTTATTATATAAAGTTTGGTTCCTTAAAGTTACTAATTAACACGATTGCGACACATGGCAAGTTATTAGTTAAGATTGTGACATGTGATAAACAAAAATGTCCAAAAAACATATTTTTCCTCTTTAAAATATTTCTACTCTCATAATGCTAGTTTTTCTTTATTAAAATCCTAATTAAAAAGTTTAAAACGAAAAAAGAATTTTATTTTATTATAAACATTTTTCAAATTATTATTAAAATAAAACGATTTTAAAAAATAAAAAGGTCAAAACGAAAAAACGAAAAAACAAAAGAATTTTACTATTATAAAACGTTTTTATAATTTTTATTAAAAGAATACGATTTTTAAAATAATTTATTGAATAAGAAAATAAGAGAAATCTTATTATAATAAAATGATTTTTTTTTTAAAAAAAATTCATAATAATTTTAATTTTAACAAAACATATTCCAAAACCGAATTGTAATTATCCTTTTCAAAATATAAACAAAAAAAAAAGAAAAAGACCTAATTGTTCTTTATAATAAAGAAAAGATAATTGTAAAAAAATTATATAAAACTATATTTTTCCTTTTTAAAATATTTCTATGCTCATAATGTTAATTTTCATTTATTCAAATCTTAATTAAAAAGGTCAAAACGAAAAAAAATATTAGATAGTAATTATCCTTTAAAAAAAAACTTAAAAATGTTCGTACTCTCATAATATATAAAAAAAAGATAATTGTAAAAAAACATATTTTCCTTTTAAAATATTTCTACTCTCATAATACCAATTTTCCTTTATTCAAATTCTAATTAAAAAGGTCAAAAAAAAGAAGAACAGAATCTTATTATAATAAAACGATTTTTAAAATTATTATCAAAATAAAAATATTTGTAAATACTTTATTAAATACGAAAAATCTTAGTATAGTAAAAATATTTTTTTTAAAAAGTCATAGTAATTTTAATTTTAACAAAAACTATTCCAAAACCGAATTGTAATTATCCTTTTTAAAATATAAACCTAAAAAAATGGAGAAAAACTATTTTATGCTAATTTTCCTTTAAAATAAAGAAAAGATAATTGTAAAAAAAATTTCTTTTAAAATATTTCTACTCTTATAATGCTAATTTTCTTTTATTCAAATCTAATTAAAAAGACCAGAACGGAAAAAAGAAATATTAGATAGTAATTATTCTTTTAAAAAGAAATCGACCAAAAAATGTTAAATACTGATTAATTTCAGTTTTCCTTTATATATGTAGAACTAAGATCTCTCATATTTGGTCACTTCTCATATTTTATCACCAAGCATAATTATTGATTCAAGAAAAATAGAAGGTGAAGTTCTATATTCTTTTTTTCTTATAAAGTTATGGTTGATCGTTGTCATGATTATTTATTTGATCGTTGTCATGCTTTTGAGTTCTGTCTTTTTGTTTTTTGATCGAAACTTCTGAGTTCTGTCACATTGCAATACATTTAAAGTTATTACCACCACACCATATTATCGTGTTTTAATATCACTATTATGATTTCTTATGTGTGTTTGTCCTATTATTATTTTCTAGCTAAAATTATAATTTAATTTGTTACCAGAAATTATCAAGAAACGATGGCTTCAGAAAGTTATTTAACACTACATCAGTTAAATAAAAAATGTTTTACCGTCAAACCATGGTATGTCTTACTAGAAAGTGGGAAGCAAAAAAATTAAACAAGAATAATGAGCTTATAGGAAATGAGTCTCCTATTTGATGAGAAGGTAAATATTTTAATTTCATTTTTTTCTAAATCTTATAGTTTTATTATTAAATATAATTTGTTTATTATACAAGAAAATATTATTCAAGGTTGTGTACAACATTCTCTAATTAAAAAATTTGAAGATGGATTACATGAAGGAGTCGTTATTGAAATCTGCAATTTTAATATGCAAAATTGCAAAAACTACAAAGTCTCGGATCATAAATTTCAAATAAGATTGACTGAGAGAACATCAGTTGCATGTGTGGTTCAACAATTATCTCAGATACCGCTTGAAAAATTCTGATTTCGAAATTATGAAGATTTAGTTTATCTGCAAGATTCAACAAACGATTTATATGGTAATATTCATATTTATATATATAATAAGATAGTATGTTTCTGTAATTGTAGCAATTTGGTTGATGAAAATTGTATGATTGGATATGTTTCTAACAGTTGATTGAGTACATAATAAGATAGTATTTTCTGTAATACACTTTTTGGTTTCATAGTAGATAATAAAACGATTTTGTTAATAATTAATTATAAATATTAAGTAATTTTCAANATATTTATATATATAATAAGATAGTATGTTTCTGTAATTGTAGCAATTTGGTTGATGAAAATTGTATGATTGGATATGTTTCTAACAGTTGATTGAGTACATAATAAGATAGTATTTTCTGTAATACACTTTTTGGTTTCATAGTAGATAATAAAACGATTTTGTTAATAATTAATTATAAATATTAAGTAATTTTCAAATCTAAAGCAAAATATATTTGCAAAATCAATATGATAATAATTTTCTTTTTAATATTGTGACATGTGTAAGAATATTTCATGAATGTAATATATATACTATGAAACTAAAAAATGAATTTCTGAAACAAATAATTTTTAAAAATAATAATTTCAAAATTATCTAACGTTAAAATATTCATCTATAAATTTAATATTAAATAAAAATATGCATCTATAAATTTTTGACTATAAATATTTTGATGTCAAATTTTTAAATATAAAAAACCTATTTTGATGTCAAAATAGGTTCTTAACATACACCTAAATTCTAAAATTGATGTAAAATATTTCTCATTCTTTTTTTATGTTTTCATAAAATAAATTAAAAAAAATAAATCCGTGGAACGCACGGGACCCTACCTAGTAGTTAATAATAAGACTCACAGAATTTATTATCTTTGGATGGTTATGTACTCGGTTTTAGGTGAAATATTCGGTCTTCTAATATAATTTTGAACAACCAATCAAACTGTGTATGAGGTAATCCTCATGAATTTGGTTATATAACTTGGTTAATGGTAGGCATTAATTTAATGTATGAAACATGTATTATAATTATATTGTTAAATTAATTTATGTATGACTTACACAGTCCAAAAACCTTATACAATACAAATTTATGACAATTTTTGAGTGGAGTAAATAAATCGTTTAGTAGAAGACTATTAAAATTTGCATTTTTTTTTTTTTACCCTTCGGCTCATAATAAAAAAAAAAGAAAAAAAAAACTTATCTCAAATTCTAGTTGATTTGGTTCCAAACACAAAATCCAGAAGTAGTTTTACTATTGATAATAAAATATAAGACAGTGAAACATTCACTTCGACAGCTTTGCATAAAAGCAAGCCCTCATTTAGCCGTGTGAGTAGAAGCACAACGGACCAAATTCATGCCAGCAGCATCTTTGAGACTTTGGACAGGCACACGATCAAGTCCCTCAAGCCAAACCAAAGTCTGTGGATCAACAAGTTGCTCAATGTTTTCAGCAAACTCACGTCTGGTGAGTTGCGGGGCAGTGTAGCCTTCATCGTGATTGTAATTCGAAGCAGCAGAAGCAGAAGCATGCTCACCACCAACATCCAAATTGGCCATGTACTCACGGACTTTGTCGAGAAACGCGAGACTGGGAACGCATCTCCTCACAACAGCAAGCATACGCGCAAAAGCAGCCCTTTTAAGGGATTTGCACTTGTCCAGGGAATCACAGACATCTGCTCTGAGGAGGTTCAGATACTTGGCAGAGATGTTGGCCATCATATAACTTGCAAACGAGGCTTCACCTCGGGCTTCCTCGTAGCGAAGGAAATTGAAGCGCCGACGAAGAATGCTACGATCCAACGGATCAAGCCCAAATACGTTTGGAAACTCGTCGTAAACCTTAGAGAACATGTCTGCAAATCTTGTCACAGCAGAGCTGACCTTTACGTAACAGGAGTCTATCATGTCGTCTATCACGAAAGGGTCGTCTTCATCATCGTAGGTACGAAGTGTTGGTGTCTGCTCCTTGAGAGAAAGGATTACATCAATAAAATCGCTTTCCTTTGGGACCGCACTACTTATCTTCTTGAATTCGTTCTCCATTATTCCTGGTCAATAAAAATAAAATAAAATAACAACAGGAAATTATTTATTCGACTTCCAGACAGACATCTCTAATTCTATTGCAGTTCTAAAGACACAACCCCTTCTATGTTACAGAACCAACCTTGATCATTATTACCACAAGTTAGAAAAAGAGAAACACTTACCAACTCCAAAACACAGATCGAAGAAGCTTGCTCGAGAGGATGAATGATGGAGGCAGGCCGAACCTTATACCATACGTTACTTTATAAAAAAATAAACCCACTAGGGTTCGCAGAGCAGGCCTATAACTCTTTTGGCTCATTAATACTCGATTTTACAGAAAAAAAATAATTGAAACTTTTTTATTTTTAACCGGGAAAATTATAAATGTAAAAATTATTAGTACAGGTCTTGGTTTTGTGTTGCCTCGGAAAACCAAACAATTTCACGCCAAAGATGTGGTTGGTAAGACTAGGATAATTAGCATTTATCGATCCGGTCATGTCAGATCTAGATCAATTTAGATATTAAATTATTAAATCTAATAGATTAATTAGAATTTGTCGATTCAGGTTCGATTCAGTTTCGGGTTGGATTCGGTTCAAATTATATCGAATCTGCTTCAAAAGATATCCAAAACACACAAAATATACATAAAAATATTGTAATACCTGGAAATATCTAAAATTTTATACATGAAAATACCAAACTTTTATCCGACTATCCGAATTATCTTTTTCAAAATTTAAAATTTTACCTTAATCCAAAATACCCAAAAATTCAAATCTGATACTTATACAAAAATACGCATAATACCAAAATATATTTAAATACCCATATGTATCCAATATATACTAAATTTTTTGGATTTTACGAGTATCTTGTGGAGTCCTGGGTTCAGATCGGTCCGGATCCAAGACCCGTAAATCCTTTACAACAAGATCCAATAGGATAAAATGATTGGTTCAGTTTCCGAACCAGAATTTTTGGATTGTTTCGGATAGGATTCTGGGGTCCCAAATAAAATACCCAAACCTAGATAAGACACTTTCATATTTTTAGCTTTGACGAGAAAGCTAGTGAGAACTTACTCGTATTTATTTGCCAACACTTAAATTGAGGAAATATTATTTTATACTTTTATTTTAATAAGATAAACATTATTTAGTCAATTTATCACAATAATGGCTTCATCATATATATTTTTCTAAAAAATAATAAAAGTAAAAATAACCTAATTCTAACTACACACCACTTTACAAATCTAAAATGATGTAACCGCTCCGGTATAATAACTAACTGAATGGGAACATAAAGCACTTTGCGTAAATTTATTTGCCATTATATTGTTTGCTTTTGAAAAATGTTCGATGAAAAGTAAGGAAATAATGTCTCTCATGTTCCTATTCCACCACACAGTCAAACCCAGTGTCATAGACCACTGATGACTCCAGAACCACAGAAGTTTGGGAAACGCCAAGTAGGCAAAGGAAAACATAAGAGAGAGTGAAGGAGGAGTTGCCAACACCGAAAAAGGTCACCAATATTGGAGGTTGTCGCCGCAGCGCCAGGGTTTGAACCAGTAGCGGCTCTGAGGGGAAGCAATACAAGCACTAGCTTTTGTAATGCGTCTTTGGTATAGTGGTTGGGCGTGGCTTTTGTAAATCCGGCCATCCGGGTTCAAACCCTGCTGCAACCATCTTTTTTTCCTTTTTAAATTTTTTTTTTTTACAAAAACCAAAAATAAAATGTTTAAGCAATATTCCTTTTATTCTTTCATGTAAAGAAGAAAAAAAAAATATTTTTACTTAGCAATTAATTAACAAAGAGTAATTATCTATTAAACAATGTAAAAGAGAAAAAAAAATAACACAAATTGAAACTTAATTACCGTCGATGTCGATGTATCATCATTCATCTTCTTCCTCTTGTTCAGAAAAAGAAAACTGAAACTTATCTTTCTCTTCTTAAAAAAAAAAACACACCTTTTAATCTTTAGGTTTTCCGAATTGTGATTTGAAAAATTTCGATCATAACTCAGGTTTGTTAAGTGTTAACCAAACAAATATAATCATATTATGTGTTATATTTTGTTCTACAGTAGCCTATATATTACATCTGCATAATTATATATTTACAAAAAAAAATTTGTAGTTCACTGTCTTCAAAGAGAATAAAAAATGAGTTGGGATGTGCATCAAAAAAAAAGAAAAAAAAGAGGCAAGACGCACTAACAAATTCAATGGCTGATTCCATGTTAAGGTATGTAATAAAATCTCAAGCTACTACACCTGATGAATCTATCGAGGAAGAGAATAATAAAAGTAGTAAAGAAGCTAGTGGGTCTGATCATGATCAAGCTGAGAACAGTGGTAAACATGAGAATGAACATGAGCTTGATGAGAATGGGAATGAAGAGGATAAAGCATATGATGCTAAAGAGTATCAGATATATGGAGATATAAATGATCTTGGAAGTTGGGGAAAAGTTGATAAAAGAATGAAAGATTTTATTGTTGAAAAAGGTCCAATGCAAGACCTTCAATTGATTATCGTTTTCCAAAAGATTATTTAGGCAGATGTTTTTCTGTTCGTCTTATACCAGAAAAATAAGGAATGGAGAGAAGCAAGATAGGCGTTGGTTACTTTACTCAAAAATGAAAGACAAAATCTTTTGTTTTTGCTGTAAGTTGTTTACGCAAGACAAACCTATAAATTTGTTAGCAACTACTGGGTCTGATGATTGGAGAAATGTCTCGAAACTACTTAAGGAACATGAAAAATGTCATAAGCATATCACATGCATGATTTAGTGGATGGAGTTGGAAGAGAAATTGCAGAAGAATCAGACTATTTATAAGGATATTCAAGAAGAGATCAACAAAGAGAAAAAACACTGGAGAGATGTGTTTCTAAGGATAATTGCATTAGTAAAAGGTATTGCTAAACAAAATGTTGCCTTTCGTGGAAGTAGTGATAAGATCTATGTAGATGGTAATGGGAATTTCTTGGGCATGATTGAAGTACTTGCAGATTTTGATCCAGTGATGAAAGAGCACATTAGACGGATCGAGAAGCGTGAAACTCATTATCATTATCTCAGTCACATGATTCAGAATGAGTTGATAGAGATAATTGGGAATGAGATCAAACAAATGATCTTAAAGAAGATTCGAGATGTAAAGTATTTTTCAGTTATTCTTGATACTACTCCTGATATCAGTCATTGGGAACAAATGTCGATGGTTATTTGATGTGTAGATATTTCTGAGACTTCTCCAGAGATTGAAGAATTTTTTTTGACATTCTTGGAAGTTAAAGACAAAACATGAGAAGGGCTTTTTGACACCCTTCAAGATGCATTGCATAATCTTGGGTTGAGTATATATGGCATTAGAGGGCAATATTATGATAAAGGATCAAACATGAAAGGGAAAGTTAAAGGAGTATAAAACAGGTTGCTTAAAATTAATCCCAGGTCTGTCTACACACCATGTGGTTGCCATAGTCTGGATCTAATACTTTCTGATATCGCTTCCTCATCATTGATAGCAATATCATTTTTTGGAATTATTCAGCGCATCTATCGTTTGTTTTCTTCTTCTACAAACAACTGTGAAGTTTTCAGAGATATTGTGAATGGGGTTACAGTAAAACCACTATCACAAACTCGTTGGGAAAGCCGCATAAAAAGTGTTAAAGCAATACGATTTAGGCTCCACAAATACGAGAGGCTTTGATTTACTTAGCTGAAAACAGTGTAAATCCAGAAACAAAAAGTGATGTTGAGTCTCTTGCAATAAGTGAAAGTTATGGAAAGGGAAGCTTTGAGTTTTTGACTGGAATGATTATTTGGTATGAGCTTTTGTTTGCTGTTAACAAAGTAAGCAAGCTCCTACAGTCTGAAGATATAGATATTGATATTGCTATTGCTCAAGTAAAAGGTCTTATTCTTTTTTAAAGACTATAGAGAAACAAGTTTCCAAGCAGCAAAACTAGAAGCTGAAAAGATTGCTACTACTATGGAAATTGATCTTGTATTCTCTATGAAAGCAAAACGGTTCATTAAAAAGAAGCAATACCATGATGAAGAGCGTAGAAAAGATGACGAAGATGTGATATCTACTGCAGAAGAAAACTTCAGAATAAATTACTTCATAAAAATTGTGGATCAGAGTTTGGTTTCTTTCGAGAAAAGGTTTGATCAGATCCAAGGTTATGAAATTTTTTTTGGATTTTTGTTTGATCCAAAGAAGCTTAAGTTGACAAATGATGATGAGCTGATGGTTGCTTGTGTCAACCTTGAAGATTTTCTCAAGCATGGTAATTGTTCTGATATTGATGGTAATGAATTATTTATGGAGTTGAAGTTTTAAGAAGGAGTTTACCAACAAATATTCAGAAGGTGGCTGAGGTATTGGATTTTCTTAAGAAGGTGGATACTTGTTATCCAAATACATAGACTGCATATCGCATTATGATGACAATTCATGTTTCAGTAGTATCGGCAGAAAGAAGCTTTTCGAAGTTAAAACTCATCAAATCTTATCTACGGTTGAGTATGTCACAGGAGAGATTAAATGGTCTAGCAATCATATCGATTGAAAGGAAGATGGCTAAAAAGTTGGATTACACAAGTTTGATGAATGAGTTTGCTAATAAGACTGTAAGAAGAATTATTTTTGAAGAATAATATTTTTTTTTTTTGTTACTTTTGATTATTTATGTTTTTGTTTGATGTTGGATTTTTTTATATATACGTTCAAAAATTTTTTTAATACGAAAGACAGCCTTTTTCTTTTTCTTCGCTTCTGGTCTTTAAAAACTCAGGATCGACACTGGTTTGAAAAGAATGAGGGAGATTTCGGAGAGAACCTTTTGAGTTTTATTTTTCTCTTGGTTTTTCTAAACATTTTCATTTGACCACTGGTTTTACAAAGAAAATGTACGTAACAAATTTGTTGCCAGCCTTTTGACTTATCCCTTATATATTAAAAGAGAAGCATTTTACATTAAATGTTTTCACACCACCTTCTCACAATTTATTACCTTGTTTACTACCTTCTCACAATTATTACCTTATTTACTACCTTCTCACAATATATTACCTTATTTACTTCAATTATAAAACACACGAGATACTTTAAAACTACAAAATTCAATATCGTGTGAGACAAGTTCGGAGGTAAGTGAATTGGCTTGAGGGTCGATGTCAAAGTTCTGGAACGTCGTTATTTGGGAGGTGAGACGTATCTATAATGATGGATATGAAGGACAACGTACCGGAGCCCATGAACGCGATCTTGGTTTGGACATGGCTCGTGTGTAGCGTGAAGAGATTGAACTCAACCTTGCTAAGTTTGAGGTAATTAGTGTACTGAGGGTAGATCTAAATGGTGAAGTGTGTTGTCTTCGAGAGATCCTAAGGCCGTATAGTAGTGGTGCTCTGAAAACTCTATATCTTCACTACGTAGGTTGGTGAGATTGGTTCTGTAATTTTGAACTTTTAGGCACACGTTTTTAACGCCGATTTTTGTATCCATAAGAAAGGACGTGAACATGAGCTATTGAACAAATTGTCGACATATATATGTGAAAGGTTTAAGGGCTCTTGAGATTGGAGATTTCGTTATACAAGTCGAGAATTTGCTTCTCGAAATGAGCCTTTTCGCAACCCATCTCGAGACTAAAAGGAGATTTGGGATTGTCTCAATACTCTTAATGGTGTTGACAGTAATATACTTTCATCTTACATGTTTCCATGTCGCGTGGATGACAAAAAAAACAGATATATGAGACAAAATCGCAATTTAACCACAAAAACAATATTTATAATATAGATATATAATTGGACGATATTAAAACCCGAAACCACCAATCCAAAACAAACTAATATGAAAATAAAACAGATATAATGTCTTCTTATCTTCAAAAATACAACAAATTTAATCATCTCATTCCGCGCAAGGCGCGGGTCTAATCCTAATGCTTTAGTAAACGCTAGTATTACCCCTTCGAACGAATCAGTTTTTCTCCATTAAAAATTATTTTGTTAATAAAATTCTAACGTTCTCTTAAATCAAAACTAAACATTATTTTAGTCAAATATTCTGTAGTTAGATATAATGGATACGAAATACTAAAAGTTTTGCATTCAAACAACATAGGTTTTTTTTGGTCAACTCCAAACAACATAGCTAGAAGGTTTAATACAATTGTTATGATTTTTCCGAACAAAGATAATAATCTTATAAAAAAATTTAATATAGTTGAAATTACTACAGCTGATCCATTCAGTATTATCTATATTTGTTTTTAAAAGATGTTTTTAATACTTCTGGAGTAAATACATTTATTTTCAATACAGTATTAGCAGAACAAAAAAAATATTAAAAATATTAAACTTTTATTGGAAGTATATATTGAATAGTTTAATATATGAGATGCAGGGCCAGCTAAAAAACTACATTTCATGATATTTTGTTTCAACTTACATTTTTAAATTCTACTCGATTGCTTTCCTCTGTAAGAAAATAAAACTTTGATTGCCAATGCTGTGTATTTTAAGCATAATTTAAAAGAAAAAGCATAATTATTTTTGAAGTTTGTCAACAATTAGTACGTTGACCAAATAAATAACGGACTTAACGAACTTCTCATCTGTAGTATAAAAGATAAAAGGGTCGTGTTAACTGACTATCTTTGAAGTCTTTTCATTCCCCGCCTCTAACATCGACGAGCCACCTCCAAAGAAACTCAAGAAACCAATGTCTCCTCCGTCACAGTTTTCATCACTGCATAAAGACATCGCATGGAGCATCTTAGCCCGCGTGCCAAAACGCCTATACCCAATCCTCGCTTGCGTCTCCAAGAACTTACTCTCTCTTGTTCGCTCGCCGGAGATTCACAAGATCCGCTCTTTCCTTGGCAAAGACTCTGTCTACATCTGCTTCATGCACATTGGTTCACTCTTGGCAAAGACTCTGTCTAATAAGGATGGCGTGGGCCACACGTTACATTGGTTCACTCTCCGCAGAACTGAGACCAACCCAAGTGAGGAGAATCAGTTAGTCTCCGTCAACGATCTCACGTTTCCTGATCACGCCGAGCCCAAGCCTTCCATCATCGCTTGTGGTCCAGAGATTTTCTTTATCTCCGGATCATACGTTCCCTCCTCAACCGTATGGATCTTTGACTCTCGAACCGGCGAGTTTCGTCGAGGACCAAGCATGAACGTGAGACGCTCCTTCAAGAGCGTGGGGTTTGTGGGGAGTAAGATATACGTGGTGGGAGGCTATCTGAAGGATGAGATTCATCAAGCTGAATCATTCGACCTAAAGACGCAGACTTGGGAACCAGCAGCACCACCGAGTCCTAACCAAGAAAGGTTGGCTTTTGCGTCTCCTACTGTGTCGTTAGACAGGAAGGTTTGTGGGTTAATGTATGTTGCAGCCATCACTATTTGCTACGATCCTAGAGATGGTTCTTGTGAGGTGTTTGATTTGCCAAAAGATAGGTGGTGGGAGACTGGCGTGTGTGTGATGGACAATGTGCTCTACGTTTACTACGTTAGGTTCGGGTTGATGTGGTATGACACTGGGATGAAGCTGTGGAGAGTAGTGAATGGTTTGGATGATATGAAGAAGGTTCGGTCTGTTGCGATGGCAGAGTACTATGGGAAGATGGCGTTTTTATGGAAAGATTTTGCTTTTGTTGGTTGTGCAACGGAGGAGGTTTGGTGTAGGATGATTGGTTTGGAAAGGAGTGAAGAAGGGATCAAGGGGACTGCAGAACCGGCTCAGCTTATGGGGAGTGTACCTCGTGGCTACATGTTGCAGCATTGCCTATCAGTTTCAGAGTAAGGAGGATAGACATTGTGAGCTAATTATCTTGAAGTTGTTGATACTATACTATGCTTTTGTTTCTTTATTTTCCTGCATCTTTCCACAATGTGACAGAAGATTGCTCTGTTTCTGTTAATGTTGGACAAAGCTTGTGGTTTGTTTACATCGACTTGAGTTGAAATGAGTTACTATAGATGGTTTGATAATGCTAGAACTTTACTTGTATGCCAAGTTTCTTTTGAAGATGCTAGTTTTTGCGTTGCAATAGTTTGGATACTGTACAGAATCATATTATTTTATTTTATCTATTTATTGATTATTTAGTCAGTTAAGTAAATATTTGGTTTAAAAAGTAACTGCCACTTAGCACATAATAATAACTTTTTTTGAAGCTACAAACACGTAATTAGCTTTAAAAGTTTCATGTATAAATATGAGAGTGGATTTTTAAATGTATTTTTTTGTTATTTTGAGGTTAAAATGTAATTATTTATTTATTTTTTAACAACTGTAATTATTTGTTTTATGAAACAAAATATTTGAAATGTCATTTGATGTTTATCAAAAGTTTTAAATTTAAGTATTAAACAAATATGAATGTGGATAAAGGAAAAGAAAAGCCTATGACTATGATGAATGGACAAGTCGTGATAATGCTAGAAGATTTTAACGGCCCTAAACGTGAGCGTCTTCGTTCTCGAGCATGGTCTACACGCTAACACCTTTTAAGCCGTTGATATGAAAGTGACTACCACTTCTTTTAACGGCGTCACACTGGCATCTACTTTAAACCGACCAGATCCTAACACGTGTCCTACCAAAATACGTTTTTTTCTTTTAATCCAGAGGAGCTGTGAAGGATTTACGAAACGCAAAAACTGAAATCGAATTTTGATCACAAAAAAAGCGAATCGCGATAATCTAATGGTGTCTCTAAACGCTAGACCTGCTCCATTCTTCGATCCCGTGAGCATGAGTCTACCGGGTCTCGATTCTTCGAACTCCGATGAGTTCGGTTTGACTCCGATTGCAAGGAGGGAAACGGCGTCGTTTGGAGAGGATACGGCGACGAAGATTCGGAAGCCGTACACAATCAAAAAGTCGAGAGAGAATTGGACAGAGCAGGAACACGATAAGTTTCTAGAAGCTCTCCACTTGTACGTATCGGAGCTTTGAGTTTTTAAAAATCGAAATTAGGGTTTTAGTTTTAGAAGCTATTAACGAATCGATTTTGATGTCACAGATTCGATCGTGATTGGAAGAAAATCGAAGCATTTGTTGGATCAAAGACAGTTGTCCAGGTACTCACAATAATCCTAATTATCTAATTACATGTTATTATGTTTATGTTTGAGTAATGGCTTTTGTTCTGTCACATATACATTACTTTACTAACTTTATGATATGTAAAGACTTAGTCATGTAGATGCTATGTTGATGTTTGAGTAATGTGTTTTGTTTCCTTTCTTACTATTATGTATGTTCTCTCTGTTGGATTATGATGCGAACCAACTGGTCCGTAATTAAGATAACCGAATCGAACCAGAGACTTGGTTAAGAAGATAGAAAGTGTTTTCCTAATTTTTTAGTTTTTTTTATAGGAGCTTGATCTCCATTTATTTAGTTATGCAATCATGTTTCTTAGTTTTTAGGATTGTGGAATGATCCACTAGTTTTCTTGGTTTGTATTTAATAGGATTCATGGGAAGAGAATGAATATGAGAAGAAAATTGTCATAAAGTCTTTGGGATCCATTAGATTATATCGTCCTAGCATTATATACATGTTATTTATGTTCATTTTTGAGGAATGAGTTGTGTTCTGTCTCATATCTTCTCTGTATTATCTATGACTTATTCTCTCTTTGGAACAAAGAGGGTGGGTCACATATCGATCATACTTGTTATGTTCATGTTTGAGTAATGTGTTTTGTTCTGTCTCATATGTTCTCTATATTATATGTGACATATGTTCTCTGTTGGAACAAAGAGAGTCATATAGATGTTTTGCCTAATGGGGTTGGTTTTGGCAGATACGTAGCCACGCACAGAAGTATTTTCTCAAAGTTCAGAAGAGCGGTGCTAACGAACACCTTCCTCCTCCACGACCTAAGAGGAAAGCTAGGCACCCTTATCCTCAAAAGGCTCCTAAAAATGGTAAACTCTCATTGCGTCTTCCACTCTTTGATTGTTTTTTCTCTTTCTCTCTCTCTGTGATGTTTTTATTATTCTGCAGTTGTTCTTCCCTCCCACGCCATTGGTTCCATCCCTGCTTCAAACGCACCCTTGCTTCAACCTGCTTACTTGTACAGCTCTTCTGATTCACAGTCACTTCTCGGAAACCCTGCGTCTAGCTCTTGTTCTTCTCAGAATCATGCATCAATAAATCTACCAAATCCCGTGATTCAAGGTATAGTGACATCATGGTTCTGATTTAGTTAGTGTATCTATGAATGGTGTTAACCATATAGTGTAATACATAATAGAGGAACCTGGAGTCTCGGCCGCGGCTCTCCCAAAGAATCACTGTTACAGCACCAGTAATAAGGAAGTTACGCAGAGATTACGAGCGGTGACAAAGCCGAATGATGAAGAAAGTTGTCAAAAGCCATATAGAGGTAAGACTTGTTATTTTGTTACATTATACCTCTTTTGACTTTCCATCTTTGTCATGAACGCTGAGAGCGAGTTGTTTTGTGGCGGTTTCAATGCAGTGATGCCGAATTTTGCTGAAGTCTACAGATTTATTGGAAGTGTGTTTGATCCCAACACATCAGGTCACCTCCAGAGGTTGAAGCAAATGGATCCAATAAATATGGAGACAGTATGTGACACGTTTAGTTAGACTCAGTCTTTACTCAGAACCTTTGTTTCTAAAACTGCAGTACTGAGTTTGTTATTTTTACTTTTGGGTATAACAGGTTCTTTTACTGATGAGAAACCTATCTGTAAATCTGACAAGTCCAGAGTTTGCAGAACAAGTAAGTTGTGCCATACTTTTATTCAATTGCACTCTTCTTCAAAGTCCAGATTAAAGGTTGGTCTTTTGGTGGTTACTCAAAGTGGTTTCGTCTTTTACTTATATGGTGCTGTGATATGCAGAGGAAGTTGATATCATCATACAGCAGTAAAGCTTTGAAATAGATATTGGAAAAAGCAACAAAAGACCTTATGAGAGCCAGAATTACTCATTCACTGGAAATAGAGGTTGAGTTTTCGTTGGATGAGCAAATAAACTCTTATATGCCACTTAAGTTATTGTTTGTGTCTCCGAAGTCTTAGTTTAAGCGCACTTGGTTTGTCCAATATTGTCTATATTCGTATGGGTGATAGAGAGTTTTGCAGAGCTATATATATATGTATAGATATATGTGTATAAGGGCAAGATTTGTAAGTGAATCTTTAAGTTTGGATCAACATCAGGTCTTTAGTCGAAAGTCTCTGTGAAGAGACCCTGATATTGGTTTCGTCGGCGCAAATATAGTTTTTATTTTTGGGAAGTCGAGATAGAGTGAGATACTGTGGGAAAAACTTCAAAAATACTTGAAGTTAACATGTGCTGCAAACGAATTTTTTAGGCTTGTCAAAAACAATATACGTTATTACAGAGTTTTTGGTTGATACACAGACATTCACTGCAATTTAGTCACAGTATGTCGTTAAACGACTTCATTCTGTTATAACACGTTAGATGATGAAACTTTAAAAAAACTTTAAAGGTTACATGCAAATAAAACTTGTTAGAAAAATACAGTATAATCTCTATAAATTAATTATCGATAAATTAATATATTAAATATCTCTATAAAATATATTTTATATAATTTTATAGTCATAAATTGAGTTTTTGATTCGATTAGTATATCGATAAATTAATATCTCTCTACATTAATAAAAAAATAAAATTTTGGCGTACTCTTAATATTATTAATTTATAGAGGTTACACTGTATGTTTTATGTTTATATAGGTATTTACGGCCACTTTGGGTATTGGTTCGGTTTGTGCATTTTGGTTATCTGGTAGTTTGGATATGAGCAGTTTGTGTATTTTGGTTATCTCGTAGTTTGGATAAAAAGCTAGATGATCTATTTACCATTTGGCATATTTTAGATAGGGTTTAGGTAATTCCAGATTCGGTTGGGATAGTATAACTAGAAACCAAAAAATACCTGAAAAATTTCACTTTTTCTTTGGTTCGATTCGGTTAGTTTAGGTAATTAGGGTTAAATATCAAATATTTTGGATAGAAAAGCTTAAATTGTTTTGACTAATATTTCAACTCTTCAACTTGACATATTTGTTCATTAAGTAAAAATTTAATCTTTTATATAGATAAAACAATGATGTGTCAGTAAAAAATAAATATATAATTAATAAAATAAATATCAAATTCAGAAATTAAATTACAAAATCGGAAAGCTAGATTAAAAATTCAGAAAATTCAACCAAATTCGAAAAAACAATTCAGAAATTTAAGAAAAATTCAAAAAATAAATAAATTTGAATTTAAATATAGAAATTTAAATTAAAATTCAAAAACAAAAAAATAAAGAAAATTCACAAAATTAAAAAAATTTAAATTTTTTTTTTATATAAAAAGCATTACAAGATTAAGTGTTTAAGAAAACCGTTTGAAAATACCATCAGCAACAATGATATGTTTGAACCTTTTATTATCAACAGTGATATGTTAGTTTTTGTAAAACAATTAGTAATTTTATATGATTTTCCAATAAAAATGTCATGTTATCGTTGATAATAAAAATTTCAACATATCAATGTTGATAATGATGGTTTCAACCAATTCTCTTAAAAAGTAGTTGATAATAATTTGTGACAAGTAGTTTTGTTGGTTGGTTAATTGGTCACATTTTATTCATGACATGAGTTGGATTGGTATTAGTCTGGATACAACAAAATAATTCTATTAGGTCAAATGTATTAGTAGATCCAATAAGTATAAGTTCTTTGTGTCAGAATTGAGAAATTCTATGGCTCGAAGCTTTAGTATTATCTTATTTATTACATGTGTCTACTATTTAGGCAGAATACCATCACCCATTTTTACTACTAAAAGGAACCTCAGAAACGGGTGGGACTAAACATGACAAAGAGGTATCCACCGAAGAAGCTCATTTTCCTATTTTTTCGAAAGAAAGAGAGGATCATTAAAAAAATCAATACATAGCACAAATACAAGAACATATAAAAAGAGATGCGATTTCCACCTATATATTTTGTTACTTTTCCTACAAAGAAACTTGTAATACCTACTCCATCTGCAATTCCATCAATGATTCGTTTATAAAAAAAATAGTTTGTTTTGCTAATTTTCTTGTACTTTCAGTTAAAGATTTTTTTAAAAGTATCTATGTAACCACGAGTATAAGACCAATTATATAAAAAATTCATTGGTTTTTCCCACCTAATTCTTTTAGAACTCCACTTTTGAAATGAATTAAGTAAGGTTAAATTTAATTTAGATGAATAAAAAAGCTTATAAAAACCATATGCTATAAATATTCCAAACAAAGCTATAATAACTGAAAAATTTGAATTTTTCAGAAATTCATTCCAATCTACAAAATTTTGTGAATTGGTATGCAAAAGGTTTATCTATGGCGTTAATAATTTTGATAATATATCAAAGTCTATTCCTTCCTGATTGAAAGGAATTCCTATGGCTCCAATAAACAAAATAAATAAAAGCAATGCAAACATAGGAAATATAATAGTATTGTCTGATTCATGGGGATAATAGAAAGTTCTTGTATTAAGTCCAAACTTTTCAACAGTAATAAAAGTTTGATTTCTTACATTATTACTAATTTTATATGTTTTATTGCCAAACAAAGAAGCTCTTTTCATATTATTCATTGTTTATAATGGTACTAACTACTAACCCAAAATTTCTGTTAAGTTTTTTATTTTCTTCTTTTATGTAGATGCTATGATGATGTTTTGAGTAATGTGTTTTGTATCCTCTCTACTATTATTATGTAGGGTTTTTAGTAATAAAACCCCTCAACTAAAGATTGGTCGTAAAAAAACCCTCAACTAAATATTTAGTGAAATAAACCATCAACTTTAGTTCCGTTAATGTTTTTCACCCTCCGTAACGGAATTTTAGACAGATGGTGACATACATTAACAGAACTAAAGTTGAGGGTTTATTTCACTAAATCTTTAGTTGAGGGTTTTTGTTACGATCCATCTTTAGTTGAGAGATTTATTACTAAATGCGGTTAAATAATATTTTAAAATCTTTGTTATCATTTATTTATTATTTAAGAATCTTACAATTGATTTATAAACATTGAAAATAATTTTTAATTTTTTTTATATATTAATTTATCAATTCTAACCTATTTATAAAGCTTAGTAAATATTTTAATATTTTTATAAACTATTAATAAGGTTTAACGATGATTTTATAAGCTTTTGTCTGCTATTTCTTAGGATGGAATAATACATGATTTTCTTGATATTACGAAGTAAAGCGATAAAGGTTTATAAAGGAGAAAACACATACAATTTTCTTATATTAATACTGTCACATATTAAATAATTAAGATTTCTAAGTTATATAAAGTTGTAGATAGTGTTGAGGATATTTAATTAGTTTAGAAATTCAACATTGTTACTTAAATTACGGCAAAGGCTTTTTTTCTCCCCTTTAAACAATTTCAATTTGATTCGTACATTTTTCTATTTCAAAAGAAATAATGTAGGATTATTTTTCTTCTTTTTAATTTCTGAACTAATATGTTATACTCCTACCATATTTAATAATAAGCTTTTCTTGTTTTATTTATTTACTTCATGTTTTTGTAGTATGAAGAATAATCACATCTTTAATCTTATAAAATCATCACTAAACCTTAATAATAATTTATAAAAAATATCAAATGAGAAAACTTTATAAATAGGTTATAAAATTGATAAATTAATATATAAAAAATAGAAATTATTTTCAATGTTTATAAATCAATTTTAAGATTCTTAAATAATGAATAAATGATAATAAAAAATTTAAAATATTTAACCGCATTTAGTAATAAAACCTCTCAACTAAAGATGGATCGTAACAAAAACCCTCAACTAAAAATTTAGTGAAATAAACCCTCAACTTTAGTTCTGTTAACGTATGTCACCGTCCGTCTAAAATTCTGTGACGGAGGGTGACAAATATTAACGAAACTAAAGTTGAGGGTTTATTTCACTAAATCTTTAGTTGAGGTTTTTTTTTTACTATCCATCTTTAGTTGATGGATTTTATTACTAAAAACCCTATTATGTATGACATGTTCTCTCTGTTGGATTATGATGCGAACCAACTGGTCCGTAATCAAGATAACCGAATCGAACCAGAGACTTGGTTAAGAAGATAGAAAGCGTTTTCCTAATTTTCTAGTTTTTTTAAATAGGAGCTTGATCTCCATTTATTTAGTTATGCAATTATGTTTCCTAGTTTTTAGGATTGTGGAACGATCCACTAGTTTTCTTAGTTTGTATTTAATAAGATTCATGGGAAGAGAATGAATATGAGAAAAAAATTGACCTAACTTAAGTCTTTGGGATCCATTAGATTATATATTTTCCTCGCATCATATACATGTTATTTATGTTCATGTTCGAATGAGTTGTGTTCTGTCGCATATCTTCTCTGTATTATCTATGACATATATTCTCTGTTGGAACAAAGAGAGTCATATAGATGTTATGTTGATGTTTTGGGGATTTTTGTTGGGTATGATCAAGTCTTCATCTTATTTTTAATACTTTAGAAGAGTCATATATTATATAGTTAATTAAGTAATTAACTTATGTACGTATCACACACCGAAGAGATGCAAATAGAATTATTAACTGTAAAACAGTTACACATATGTACGTGTCTCTATGCTGGGGTGTCTTCAAGAGACATGTCCTTTACTTGGTGCCTCATGTAAAACTATAAATACATTCTAAATATCTAATATAGATATGTGGTTTTCGTTTAATTAGAACAAGAGTAATATGTTGAATGTAAAGCAAGAAACAGAGAGATAGAGATAAACCGAGTAAAATCTGTGTTGTCTGATCCTTAACAACTTTGAGAGTTCAAAGATCTAAATGGTATCAGAGACATGGAGACAACAATACAGCAAATTATTCCAATCTTCAATGGTGAATCATATGGTTTTTGGAAATTCAAGATGGTAATCATATGGATATTATAGAAAATGGAGTTACGTTAGTTTCGTCTTCTGAAAACATACTGGCATTAGACAGATGACCAAGTGATGAAGGATATGATGGCTCTTCAGATTCTTCAAATTGCAGTTTCGGATACAATATTTCCAAGAATTGCTCCCGCATCACACGCAAAAGAAGCTTGGAATGCTTTGGAAATGGAATTCCAAGGAAGTTCACAAGTAAGGATGATTAATCTTCAGACCTTAAAAAGAGAATACGAGAATCTGAAGATGGAGGAGGGTGAAACCATAAATGATTTCATAACCAAGTTGATCAACATGAGTAATCAACTAAGATTTCATGGTGAAGACAAGACCGATTACCAATTGGTTCAAAAAGGTTCTTATCTCTTTGCCGCAAAAGTTTGA